CCTGTCTAATGCTGTGCCTGTCTGCTGAAATGAATCGCTGTCTCAGAACAAACATGTTTAGTGCCCCTTGTCAGGGCAACGGCAAGCCAACTTCTAGAATCCTCTGGTTTCCTAATTCAACTAACTAAACAGTTGGTTACTCTGTCATTGTGTCTCGGACTGACAGAAAAAGTAAGGATGAGTTTTATTTTAAATTTTGGGGTATTTGGGGTATGAATGAGGGCAGTGGAGTGCCGCTAGCTTGGATTTTGTTTTTCTCCAATGAGGTGGAGATAGCATCCAGACATGGGTTGACCTTGGCTGCTCCTGATTGGATGAATCTAATTCTTGAAAGTTGTTAAGCTCCACCTCCGCTGCTAGCCACCCAGCTTTCGACTCAGTCCACTCCTGGACAGTTGTGACCCTACTGTTCTCTTCCTAAAATGAATAGTTATATCATTTATTGCACCTTTATGACCATTTGGACTTGTGAGTACTCCCCCCAGAGCACTACAGTTTCGAGTGGCTCAATTTTCAAAGCTGTGGCTACAGCCTCAGGGCTTATAGCCCATGAGGCTTCAGGCTGCCACACTGCCTCAGACCCAAGAGGCAAGTAGGCTTTGCAGCTCAGGCACAGAAGGGGGAAGAGAGCTATGTCATTATGTGGATTATGCATAATACATAGGTGACAAGCCTACAGATCTCTCTCACCCAGGTTTTTCTCATCAGTTAGACCAGATATGCAGAGGCCCCAAAGCATCATCGACTCCTCCTCATGTACATTCTTGAGGCTTCTCAGACTTTACTCAACTCTACATTTCAATATGATGAAAAAATAAAATGATTAAATATGTAGGAAGCTCTCAGGTGAGCTATATTTTAATTATTGAACTGTATTTTCATTACATTTTCATCAACCCAAGTTTAATGTTTATTCTGCCCACCTAGCTTTTCAATTTTACTCTGGTATATACCACTCAAAAACCAAATGAGATCTCGGGGTGAAAATTTTTAAGGTGGGAAAGTGGCAGGTGTTTGTACAGGTCGAGACATAAAGTTCAAAAAACGTTTCCCTCCAACAAAATATAGGCTAGCCTCACAATCATACATTTTCCTGGTGGATCAATATCCAGCCACAAAACTAAATTAGGCTTGGACAGCATTTCGTCAGTATCTATAGACTGACTAAGCATACGATGTAGCTCACTTTGTTCATTAGATTGTTTCATTCAGTGTTTTGTGCTCGACTTTTTCATCCCAATTAAAGGGGAAGTAAATAATTAAATCAAATTTTACTTACAATAATATCCCGACATCTCCCCCCCGACCGCTACAAAGAACAATAATCTTTGAGTTAAAAAAACTACAGTAGCCAACTGATCAAATTGCTCTTCAGCATACGTAGAAAAATCCAACTTTTCTCTTAATAGACAACATATTATTCTAAATACTAAGGCTTAATTTTAAATTGCTTTTCAATTCTCATAAGTGGTGGAGAATGTTCTGTAATAACTCTCTCTCTATTTGCAGTCCTCTGCAAATTCCACATCATTCTCAAACCATTCCTAGGCTCCTAAGAGCATATTTTTGGGGGGATGCCAAATCTGCAGACGAAAGGGGAAAGGCATGAGCCCTGAATCTGTTTCATTCCTGTAAAGAAAATAAAGATTGAGCCACATCTTTATGTTTCTATAAGTAAGAACCAAATCTTTAAGAAAAATATTCAGAGCTTTATTGACTAGTAGGTCAAATGCATTTCAAAGTAATTATTTATCTCTTCATTGATCTTGGTTTGTTCCTAAAAAAAAGCCATTATTCAATAAAATGAAAGACCACTAAATACTGTACATTATGCAAAATGTACCTAAAGTCTACTTATTTGTCTTTAAATGTTTTAAAGTACAGGTAGCCCTCGAGTTACGACCACAATTGACCCAAAATTTCTCTGGCTACATGAGACATTTGTTAAGTGATTTTTCCCATTTTATGACCTTTCTTGCCATAGTTGTTAAGTGAATCATTGCAGTTGTTAAGTTAGTAACATGGTTGTTAAATGAATCTGGCTGCCCCATTAACTTCGCTTGTCAGAAGGTCATGGAAGGTGATCCTGGGACCCCCGGATGCTGCAACTCTCATAAATATGACTCAACTGCCAAGTACCTGATTTTTGATCACATGGCCATGAGGATGTTGCAACGGTCATAAGTCTGAAAAACAGTTGCAAGTCACTTTTTTCTGTGCTGTTGTAACTTTGAACGGTCACTAAATAAGTTTCCAAGTTTAATAGAATTTGTATGCCGCCCACTCCTGTTGAACCTCTGGGTGGCTCACAACAAGACAAAGAAACATTTAAAATTTAAAAAATAGAAATAAAAAAATACAATATTAAAATTCACATCACC